GTTTTTTTGGTTTTTTTGGTCCTCTGCAGACTTCTCTATTTTCGTCGAAAGTCTCAGAAAATTGTTTCTTGTTTTTTTTGATCCTCTGCAGGCTTTTCATGTTCCTTAACTAGAAAATCATTGAAAAACCTATGAATTAAAAACCCACCCCCCATGACAATCCCTTCTGTATATATATATATCTAGTTAACTAATAGTGAGAAAAGCAACCTACCAAACCAACAAACATATAGTATTATACGTCTTTACATTATCTCACACAAAAATTGCAATGAATTCAGGCAACACTTTTCCCTTGTGGTCTCGGTCAGGCCATTGGCCAAGCCAAAGCCAATAGAAAGACCACTGGAGGACTCGGAAGGCTGAACCCAAGCTAACATCTGGAAATGATCCAGATCTTGTCCCAACAGGAGTAGGTGTAAAACAACTTGGACCGTGTGGTCCCTGTGCCCACCAAGCTGAACCATGAGAACACATTCAGGAGTTTGGTCCAGGCCTTTCCAATTCCGACCACAGGAACCCCATCGCCGTGGAGAGCGATGGGGACGGCGTACCGCCGCCAGTGCTCTCGACGCAATACAGGATGGTCGTGAAGAAGCGGATGGTTGACAGCGGTTTCCCAAAATGTCTCAAGGTTGGATTGGTCTGGGCAAATGCTTTTGAACCATGTGGTCTGGTACTCTGCAGCAATGGTTGCGAAAAGCTCATGAGGTAAAAGCAGGGATTGGTTCTGCACACCCACCGGGCTTTTGAACTTTGCATTGAAAAGGTAGGGCTGCGGTACCTTGCTGATGTTCTTCGTCCTTTGCATCAAATCTTGGTGCATCTTGTTTGGATATGCGCCATTGCTCCCAATGCTGGCCAAGGCCTTCAGGTCACTGACTATGTGCTTGTTGGTGTGGTGCTTCTCCAAGTCTTCTAGTGCCAAAGCAGCAATGTGCTGGCAGCGCTGAGGCGAAAACTCTCCCCAAGTGAACAAGGTCAAAAGAAAGGTGACCAAAGCGCTTTGCTGAGTGATGCCAGCAGCGGATGATTCTTCCTCTGATCGGGCAGCCTTGATCCTTTGCTGTTGGCCGCCTTTCCGTTTCATGTGGGTGAAACCGATAAATTAAGGTAGGGTGTTCAGGTACTACACTCTAACTGCGCATTCCACAGTGCCAGGCGCTTGTGTTTTTGGTAGCTTGCACGAACAAGTTGACATTGTTGATCAGGGTGCAATGAACTGACTCTGTATCAACTGCAGGCGCTTGACAAAGCTAATGGAGTAAACATTCAAGGATGAAAGGTTACAACTTGAGAAGCGCGCTGCTGTTGACATGGTTTACAAAGTGACGCAAGTCTTTGACTGAAACCACCATGAGAGGGAACCTTGAGGGACTTATGAGAGAACCATGAGAGGGAACCTTGAGGGACTTATGAGAGAACCATGAGAGGGAACCTTGAGGGACTTATGAGAGAACCATGAGAGGGAACCTTGAGGGACTTATATGAGAGAACCATGAGAGGGAAGCTGGAGGAACTTATGAGAGAATGAGAGAGAGAGAGAGAAGGAGATAGGTGAGACACCGCTAAGGGAGAAATTAGAGGTGAGGGAGAACCTTTGTGGGAGACAAGGGTCAAAGGTCTCTCAACAACCATGGAAAGGTCTCTCAAAGGTCTCTCAAAGGTTTCATCAAACCTTTCCAAAAGCTTTCTCATGGTCGCAAAGAAGTTGGCGCTGCAAAGGTCTTTTGCCGATCCTTCGACGCCAGGATGCAAGGTTGTGGCAGCAGCAATCTCTATGCGCGCACCGTTCACACACAGGTCTAGCTGGGGCACAGCCAGGGTTACCAAACATATATGACGTATACAAGTGTTTACGACGCGATGAAATATATATCTACCTATATTCTATTTTTGCTGAAATCTGGTGAAACCTTGCCTTCACTACAAAAGTGCAAACACAGTTGAATAAGCTATAGATACTTCTATATAGATATATGGACACCTCGGCTTGTCCCAGGGTCTGTGTGCCACACACAGTCTTTCAAAATGAGCGCGCTCAGGGTGTCAAGTCATCAGTTGGACTTGGCCCTCAACTTGGCCTTGGAACCTTGGCGACTTCGAAGACGCACGAATCGAAATTCTGCTTGGTCAGCGGCTTGTCATTGGGCAGCTCCTTGAAGAGCTTCACGTGGTTGGTTGATGGATGCCAAATCTTGCTGGCAGGCATTGTAGTGACCACGCAAGGCCTTGCCGCCATCAGCCAGCTTGGTTCCATCCTTCAGGATCTTCAAAGCATCACGCGACAAGCGCTCAAGGGCTTTGCTGGCACCATCAAGCAACTCATTGATGTTGCTTGGAAGCTTCTTCTTGGGATCCTTGGCCATGTCCTGTATAGCTCAAAGTTGGAAAGTGGTAAGCTATTGCATCTCTTATATTGGGGTGAACAAAGGTCGAATATATATTAGAAAAGGTCCAGGGTTGCGCATAGCAGAATCAAACATATACATTGCCCCCATCTAATATATGCCAATGAGTCCTTGATGTCCTTCTCGGTGTGATCAAAGGTCCAATCCAAAGAAGCCATCAGATCCTTCAAGGCACCAAACTCCTTGGCGCCCGTTTTGACCTGGTCTTTGCCGCCATGCTCGAAAGTAGATCCACGCTCCTGTCCCACAAGCATCTTCCTGCGCTTGTAGTACTTGCGGCCATCGTCGCCTTCGAATTCAACCACGTCACCCTCTGCAAGTGCATTGTTGAAGGCCTAAGGTTGCCCAAGCAAACACAGGCGCACACACACATACTTGAGTTTGTTCAATGTCTATTGAGTTCAAACCCTTTTGATTTTGTTCAATGTCTTCTCTATTTAAGTTCATTCATAAATCAGTTCATTCATTAGTTCATTCATGCTGTCATCCACTTATTCCCATTCATGCGCTCATTCATTTATGCGTTCACACGTTAGTGCATTGGTACAAACCTTTGAATGAAGCCACCCTGAGAGAGGAAACCTTGAGAGTTCACTCCATCCACTCATTCATTAATTCATTCATTCATTCAGTCAGTCATTCACTCATTCATTCATTCATTCACTCATTCACTCCTTCATTCACTCATTCGTACAAACCTTTGAGTGAAACAACCTTGTGAGAGGAAACCTTGTGAGAGTTTCATTTCATTCATCCCCTCTCTCTCTCTCTGTTAGTCTTTCTTTCTTGGTTTCTTTCGGTCTTTCTCTCTCTCTCTCTCCCTTTCTCTCTCTCTCTCTCTGTCTTTCTTACTGATTGTCTTTATTCTATAGTCGTTCTTTTCTCTGCCTCTTTCCTTTCTCTCTCACTCTCTCTGACTCGGTTTCACAAAAGGTGCATGGAAAGCACGTCCGGCCTGGATGTTGTTTTGAAAAAAGAGGCCAAGCATGACCGAGCGGGACATCGCCTCTTGCTCGTCCCTGGCGTACTTCTGTTGATATACTTTGTACGCCTCCGTGAAGAGCTTGGCACCAGTGTTCATCGTGAACATTCCAGAGTCACTCTTATTGAACAACTGGTTGATGACGTTGGTACGAAAATCCCTGGGAGAAGGACTTTGCTTCGCGGTCTCGTCGTATAAGTGGAGTATATGCTGGGGGATCTGCCCAGCTTGGCGCATCCGGGCGAATTTTTCGCCTTTCGCTTTGTCGCGCCTGGCCAAGACCATTGTGCCTTCGTTCTCATCATCCTCAGGAGAAGCCGTGGCACTCTTGAGCTGGCGCAGGGTTTCATTGACACTCGGCATCGCTGCCGGCTTCTTCTGCGGTTGTGTGCGCTTGGAAGCGGCTGGCATGGTCCAAGGTCGAGACACACACAAAGCTATCGATCACGAGCGTTCGATCACTCTCTCAATCCAAGAAAGCTGTGGAGCAACGAAGGTTTCACTTCAAGGATCAATGACATCAACAAAAGGTTTCTAGATTGTCATCAGGTTCCAACAAAACATTTCAAGGTTGTTGTCAGATCACAACATAAAGTTATAATGTTGCCAAAGTAGTGCTTCGAAGTTTGTTCGAAATTTCGAACAAACTTCGAATCGAGCATTCGAAGTTTCATTCGAAGTTTGCTTCGAAGATTGTTCGAAGTTTATAAGTATGTATAAGTTGAAAACATTGGTATTTACAGTGTTTTTGATATACATCAAATAAACTTCGAATCAAACTTCGAACAGATATTGAACAAACTTCGAATGAACTTCGAACAAACTTCGAAGTTTGTTCGAAATTTCGAACAAACTTCGAATCAGTCATTTCCAGACTTGAAAAACTCATGAACAAATCATCTAGGAGTAAGATCACACCAACAAACTCCCTCAATGTCTCTCAAGGTTCTCTCAAGGTTCTCTCAACCATTTAACAAGAGTCTCTCAAGCTCTTCTCAAGACTGTCTCAAAACAAACGGGTGTCAAAGTGTCACACATCTTCATGGTAGAGGTACAGGGCTGCTGTGCAACTCATTTGTTTTTCAACACCGCACAGGCTCTAAGTTGGCTGGAGTCTAAAAACCATAGAGCTACAGTGCTACCATCCTAAAGCACAGTGCTCCGCTAAAGTCTTCTCCTCCTTGGCCTGGTTCTTCGTTTGAACTTGTAGTTCTCACTGTTCATCACGAGTGACTTGGCGCCTTTTGCGTCCAGCCTTGGCCTTGCTCTTTGGCTTGGGCTTTGCCTCAGGACCGGCGTCTATGTCCATGGAGGAGCGGCCGCGGTTCAGGCTGGACGAAGTGGCGGAGGCCCCCATGCCTTGGTGTCCTGATGCCTGCAACTGCTGCGCAAGCATATTGCCTAGCAGCAGGGCCATCGGGCTCACCTCGCCCTCGACAACGATGCGGTGTCCGTAGGCATCCAACACTCGGTATGTGGGCTCATCAGGATCCTCCTCTGATCCACTGGGAGCAAAGTCAGCAGGATCAACCGGTGCATCAAGCTGAGCAGCTGGATCTTGAGGAGCCGGACGCTGCTCAGCTGGATCTGCTGGATCTTGTGGAGCCGGATGCTGTGAAGCTGGATCTTGTGGAGCCATGGTGGTATCTCCTTGGCCAAGGATCATGGTCTTCTCACTGTCGGAGCGCTCCAATTGAGATGACATGTCAACAAAGTGGCAAGGCAAACTGGTGGTCGCAGGATTGCTAGCCAGAAAAGCTGCAAGGTCCAAGGTTCTCAAAGTGTATACATGAGTGACTCAAAGTACAATGGTATAACTACTCAAGTGATTATGAAGGTTACCGCTCAAACATCAAGCCACTGCAGTATATCTCTCAAAACATTGGTTGTAAAGGATCTATATAGGTTCAGTGTTTCCCCAAAAGGTTCATAGAAAGTGCGTGTCACAGGTCTCTCTCAAAGGTTCTCAAAGGTCGTCCTCAAAAGGTCTCAAGTCTCTCTCAAAGTGTTATCTCGAAGGTATCTCTCAAGGTAGCTCTCAAAGGTATGCGCAGTATCCTTAAAGGTGTACAAAACAGAAAAGGTTTGAAGCGTTTGTTGACACAACTGCAAATGACACACTGAATTTGAAATGACTGCCAATGACACACTGCACTTGAAAGGATTGCAAATGACATACTGCACTTGACATGACTGCAAATGACAGAACACAGCTGATGCACGGACTGCGCAGTTTTTTTAACACACACATCAAATGCTCTTATCCTGACCGGAGCCTTGCGTTTGCAAGCTATACGGTCACGACCGCCTCCGCCTTCTCCTGGATCGTCTGCTCGAAGCACTGCTCGACCTCCTCCTGTGCCTCGACCTCGACCTGCGCCTCTTGGATCTCGATCGCGATCGCTTCCTGCGCTTCGATCTTGTTCGCCTTTTCCTGGACTTCGATCTTGTCCGCCTGGATGGCGATTTGCGCTTTGAACGGCCAGCAGATTGAGGTTCTGCTTGAGCAGGCTCCTTTTCCTCCTCCTGCTCCTTTTCCTCCTCCTCCTTTTCCTCCACCTCCACAACTGATAACCCTGGCGACGATTCTTCCTCCTTCTTCACCTCCACGATGGCCTGTACTGCAATAGGTGCCCTCTTTGATTTTGGCTCATCTTCCTGTTTTGGCTCATCTTCTTGTTCCTCTTCATTCTTCAA